GACATGTGTCTACCTGTCAGTTATATAGACATGTGTCTACCTGTCAGTTGTATAGACATGTGTCTACCTGTCAGTTGTATAGACATGTGTCTACCTGTCAGTTGTATAGACATGTGTCTACCTGTCAATTGTATAGACATGTGTCTACCTGTCAGTTATATAGACATGCGTCTACCTGTCAGTTATATACACATGTGTCTACCTGTCAGTTGTATATACATGTGTCTATCTGTCAGTTGTATAGACATGTGTCTACCTGTCAGTTATATAGACATGTGTCTACCTAATGAGTTGTATAGATAGGTGTCTGTACATCGTTGTATGTGAACACAGGTGATCGTGGCGCCCGGGCTGTGATGAAGCTGTCGGCCTCAGACAAATTGGAATCTACATGCTATTTGCTGTCAGCCATTTATGGGTGAATGATATATATGCTATATACTGTCACCATGTATCATGCCATGTCATGTATGGCTGTATGATATACATGCTATATACTGTCACTGTCAGTCAACCATGTATGGTTGTGTGGATATACATGCTATATATTGTCACTGTCAACCATGTATGGCTGTGATATACATGATATACATGCTATATACTGTCACTGTCAGCCATGTATGATTGTATGATATACATGCTATATACTGTCACTGTCAACCATGTATGGCTGTATGATATACATGCTATATATTGTCACTGTCAACCATGTATGGGTGTGATATACATGCTATATACTGTCACTGTCACCACCATGTATGTCACTATCAACCATGTATGTGTATGATATACATGCTATATACTGTCACTGTCAACCATGTATGGCTGTATGATATACATGCTATGCTATATACATGTCACTGTCAACCATGTATGGCTGTATGATATACATGCTATATACTGTCACTGTCAACCATGTATGGCTGTATGATATACATGCTATATACTGTCACTGTCAACCATGTATGGCTGTATGATATACATGCTATATACTGTCACTGTCAACCATGTATGGCTGTATGATATACATGCTATATACTGTCACTGTCAACCATGTATGGCTGTATGATATACATGCTATATACTGTCACTGTCAACCATGTATGGCTGTATGATATACATGCTATATACCATGTATGTCACTGTCAGCCATGTACTGTCAGCCATGTATGGTGTATGATATACATGCTATATATTGTCACTGTCAGCCATGTATGGCTGTATGATATACATGCTATATATTGTCACTGTCACCATGTATGGCTGTATGATATACATGCTATATACTGTCACTGTCAGCCATGTATGGCTGTATGATATACATGCTATATACTGTCACTGTCAGCCATGTATGGGTGTATGATATACATGCTATATATTGTCACTGTCAACCATGTATGGGTGTATGATATACATGCTATATATTGTCACTGTCAACCATGTATGGCTGTATGATATACATGCTATATACTGTCACTGTCAGCCATGTATGGCTGTATGATATACATGCTATATACTGTCACTGTCATGCTATATACTGTCACTGTCAACCATGTATATTGTATGATATACATGCTATATACTGTCACTGTCAACCATGTATGGCTGTATTGCTGTATGATATACATGCTATATACTGTCACTGTCAACCATGTATGGCTGTATGATATACATGCTATATACTGTCACTGTCAACCATGTATGGCTGTATGATATACATGCTATATACTGTCACTGTCAACCATGTATGGCTGTATGATATACATGCTATATACTGTCACTGTCAACCATGTATGGCTGTATGATATACATGCTGTCACTGTCAACCATGTATGGCTGTATGATATACATGCTATATACTGTCACCGTCAGCCATGTATGTGTGCTGATATACATGTATATAACCATGTATGGCTGTATGATATACATGCTATATATACTGTCACTGTCACCTGTCAGCCATGTATGGTCAAGCCATGTATGTCATTGTATGATATACATGCTATATACTGTGTCAACCATGTCAGCCATGTATGTATGGGTATGATATACATGCTATATACTGTCACTGTCAGCCATGTATGTATTGCATGATATACATGCTATATACTGTCACTGTCAGCCATGTATGGCTGTATGATATACATGCTATATATTGTTATATAGCTATGCATACATGCTATACAATTGTCACTGTCAACCATGCAGCGACCACCTATACATTGTCCTGTATAACACCTATTATACCATGTGGCTGGCGTATGCATGGACCATCAACCATGTATCAATGGCTGTATGCTATATATGCCATACATACCTGCGCATCAACCATTTGCCTGTAAAAACGCCAGTAGAAACTCCGGTTGCCAGTCATCATCTGCTTCCAACGAGGCCTGGTATCCTATGCGGTCCGTGCCACAATATGGACATTGCCTATAGGGTAACAATCCTGGTGGACGATCAATGGGTAAGATACACCTCACATTCTGATTGTGAACAAACCACAATATAATTGTATCGATGACGTCACTTTCTGTTGTGACGTCAATTGAATTATCGATAGCATTACATGCCGGGCAATTAAAATAGCAGTACTGTTATAGTACTGTATACAGTAATTGTCTAATATCAGGAACATGTTGCATCCAACATCAGGTGAACCGCAGATACCCTGGGAACATGTTCATGTTACTTAGAACCAACTACGGACACCTTGAAATCATGTCACATGTAACTTTAGACCAATTACAGACACCTGACATCATGTTACTTGTAACTTTGGTCAACTACAAACACCTGTTACATTTAGATTTATACCACCCACAGACCACCAGGCAACATGTTACATGTAACTTCAGGCTACCTACAAACACCTGGTACATGAAAGTTTAGACCACCTACAGACCTCTAGACAACATGTTACATGTAACTTCAGGCTACCTACAAACACCTGGTACATGCAAGTTTAGACCACCTACAGACCTCTAGACAACATGTTACATGTAACTTCAGGCTACCTACAAACACCTGTTACATGCAAGTTTAGACCACCTACAGACAGCCATGTATGGGTGTATGATATGTAGACAACATGTTACATGTAACTTCAGGCTACCTACAAACACCTGGTACATGCAAGTTTAGACCACCTACAGGCCTCCAGGCAACATGTTACATGTAATTTTACACCAACTACAGGCACCTTGACAGCATATTACAGGTAACTTTAGACCACTTTGAGACACCATGTTACATGTAACTTCAGAACACCTGAAGGCCCCCTTGGACCGCTATATGGCGGACTTCCCCAAAGTGAAGATTGTCCGAGCGGCCAAGAGGGAAGGACTGACCAGGGGCCGACTACTGGGGTACGACCAGGCCAAGGGGCCAGTCCTCGTCTTCCTCGACTCCCACATAGAGTGCTTCCCAGGTACTTCTTGCGTAAATTTTGTCTGCAGTACATTCCGGTTAGAACTGTTGTCGTGGAACCATGGCCGGGGTTTGCTGAGCGTACAACATTAATATCATATTCATGACATTGCTATTGTGCTCAAATGCATTCTTGCAGATTGTCTTTGCTCACCATTAAATATTTATCTTGTGCTCGTCCACAACAAATATGTTATAGAGACATGGAAGTACTTAAAGTCCGCCTGTGTCTGTAACGCACCCGTCTTGTGTCTGTCATATCTCCACCCTGTGTGTGTCTGCAACACACCCGTCTTGTGTCTGTCATATCTCCACCCTGTGTGTGTCTGCAACACACCCGTCTTGTGTCTGTCATATCTCCACCCTGTGTGTGTCTGTCATATCTCCATCCTGTGTGTGTCTGCAACACCTCCGTCCCATGTGTGTCCAGGTTGGCTGGAGCCCCTCTTGTCTAAGATAGCCGAGGACCCCCGGGCAGTAGCGTTCCCTGTCATCCCAGTGATCAGCAGGTTGGACTTGAGCGTCCAAAACACCATGAGTCTGACGGTGGGCAAGTTCAAGTGGAACGGTCTGACCTTCATCTGGGGCGGTATGTCGGGAAAGGAGAGGGCCCGGAGGAAGGAGAAGTACGAACCCGTCAGGTCAGTGCATTAATCTGTTCATCATGTCATACACTCATTCTGTTCATCATGTCCTGTTCATCATGTCGTACACTCATCCTGTTCATCATGTCATACACTCATCCTGTTCACTCATCCTGTTCATCATGTCATACACTCATCCTGTTCATCATGTCATCATCACACATCATCCATCCTGTTCATCATGTCCATAAACTCATCATCCTGTTCATCATGTCATACACTCATCCTGTTCATCATGTCATACACTCATCCTGTTCATCATGTCATACACTCATTACTCATGTTAATTGTCATCATGACATACCCTTACCATGTCCATCTATCTGGTCCGTATGCTCATCATTCTGCTGGACGGTTGTGTGTCTACCTGAATGATGGAATCATCTATAATTATTCTGTAACTCCTCAGTGATGCCAGGCTGATTGTCTGTCTACAAATATAGATACATCTCTCCCTATTCTCCAGATCCCCAATGATGCCAGGCTGATTGTCTGTCTACAAATATAGATACATCTCTCCCTATTCTCCAGATCCCCAACGATGCCCGGTGGGTTGTTCGCGATAGACAAGCAGTGGTTCACTACCCTCGGCACGTACGACCCAGGACTGGACTTCTGGGGTGGGGAGAACGTGGAACTCTCTTTTAAGGTTGGGTGGAATCTCCTCTTGTATGGAATCTCATGTTGTTGTCAGGAAACTAGCCTTGTTAAAATATTGCCTTTCGAAATTTCGAGTTGGAATCTCGTGACTTCAAGACTAACAACAAATGGTGTAATTATTGTAATCCTGGCACTCTTGCCTTATTTAAAACTGATGGGCTATGATGTGTATTCCGTTTGAAGTGTGACGATATAAATTCAGAGTTATCCCCTGCACTACAGATTACATGCTATTTTTATGCTGTTTGGTTGTGTGTCTGTAGGCGTGGATGTGTAACGGATCGGTGGAACTCATCCCGTGCTCCCAGGTCGGACACATATTTAGGACTGTCAACCCCATCAGGTGGCCGAAAGGGGCGTCATCATGCGGAACTCCATACGTGTAGCGGAGGTGTGGCTTGACGACTTCAAGGACGTGTTCTACGACTTCTCATTTCATAAAAGTGTAAGTAGCTGTTTGAAGCTGACCCAGAAGGGTTCTTGTAGGTATTACTCGTAGGTAAACTGAACGGCAAAATATTACAGTGACTCGAATTATGAAAGAACCCCTAAAACCAGCAATCCTTTGAGGTCAAGTATATTCAATAAATAGACAAATCCATTAAATATTGACCAACTGTAAACTGGCGTTCGACATTAATGTATTGCACCACAGACAACCAAAGTCACTTGTGGTGTACATTCATCACAGTTCATTCAAACCCAGGAGGTGTTTCCCGTCACTAATGTGTAACTCAACATGGTCACCACTGACGCCAAACATGTATGAATTCTATGACGGACCGAAAACGTGAAACGTCTGATGAGGTCACGTGGCAAGCGGTTCCAATTGTACTGTCGAGTACGTGTCAACTCTTGTCCGTATCCAGGAGGATGATTTCGTATATATTAGATACTCTATCAGTGTGAAATCCGGACAGTGTGCCGACCACGGTAAGACGTTTGTTTCATTGAACCTCACAACCATACAGAACACACTGGGGTGTTGCTATAGGTAAGGTGCCGCAAGAGGAAGGAATAATCTATTGTGTTGCGCCTGGAGGCATGGGTGACGACTGGAGGAGCTTTCAGTAACACTGTCCTGTCGGGACACGGTTATATGATAACACTGTTGTGTCGAGACACGGTTATATGATAACACTGTTGTGTCGAGACACGGTTATATGATAACACTGTTGTGTCGAGACAGGGTTATATGATAACACTGTTGTGTCGAGACACGGTTATATGATAACACTGTTGTGTCGGGACACGGTTATATGATAACACTGTTGTGTCGAGACAGGGGGTTATATGATAACACTGTTGTGTCGAGACAGGGGGTTATATGATAACACTGTTGTGTCGAGACACGGTTATATGATAACACTGTTGTGTCGAGACACGGTTATATGATAACACTGTTGTGTCGAGACAGGGTTATATGATAACACTGTTGTGTCGAGACACGGTTATATGATAACACTGTTGTGTCGAGACACGGTTATATGATAACACTGTTGTGTCGAGACAGGGTTATATGATAACACTGTTGTGTCGAGACACGGTTATATGATAACACTGTTGTGTCGAGACACGGTTATATGATAACACTGTTGTGTCGAGACACGATTTTTTCACATCGTTGCCTGATGGCATTGTTGTGTTGTATTAACACAGTTGTATGGTAACAGTGTTGTCAATGCACTGTCTTCAGAGAGCATTGTCACATGATAACATTTATTGATAACAGAGTTGTATGATAACAGTGTTGTCTGTACACTGTCTTCCGAAAGCACTGTCACATGATAGCACTGTCACATGATAGCATTGTCACATGATAGCACTATCACATGATAGCATTGTCACATGATAGCATTGTCACATGATAGCGTTGTCACATGATAGCATTGTAACATGATAACATTGTAACATGATAGCATTGTGACATGATAACAGTTATGTGATAACACTATCTTCCCTCTGCAGGAGTTCGGCGACGTGAGCGCCAGGAAGCGTCTGCGGGAGTCCCTGCACTGCCACGACTTCCGGTGGTACATGGACAACGTCATGGACGGCCAGCTGCCGCCCACAGTTGTGGCGCGGGGAGAGGTGCGGTTTACTTTCACTTTTATGAAAATTGTGGCAAGGAAAGATTCTGTTAGAAGATCAGGAGATGTATTCGAAAACACCCGGTGTCATACCTGGGTTTCTGTGATCCATTCAGATGGATGACATGACATTACTAATACAGCTGGAGCTGTTGCTGCCTCTTCTGTTCAGACTCTAGACACATCACATTTTGTACACTGAACTCTTTGGAATAATTGTTTTGAATGATACGGAGACCCTACATGGTAAACCCTCGGCCGACCGCTGTGGTGTAGTGGTCGAATCAGACTCGCTTAGACCTCCAGTCTATATCTGTCGTCCATCTCATCCACCGCTGTCTGTCTGTCTCCAGATCCGGAACACACAAACGCCGCTGTGTCTTGACAGCATGGCGGCTAAGAGGGTGCCAGAGTTGTTCGGCTGCCACGGGGATGGCGGGAATCAGGTATGTGGTTTCCAGGAAATACTGACTCGACTCTAAAGTCAAGAACCACACGAATGAGTGATAGACACTGTCCCGTGTACTTGCATGGGGACCTTGATGTAGTGTCAGGGAGAGGCTCTGTGGTTTTCCGGGGAGGACGGGGTTTTGGAGCGGACATTCCGGGGAGGACGGGTTTGTGGTGTAAGGGGACATTCCGGGGAGAACGGGGTTTTGGTGTGAGGGGACATTCCGGGGGAGGACGGGGTTGTGGAGTGAGGGGACATTCCGGGGAGGACGGGGTTTTTGTGGTGTGAGGGACATTCCGGGGAGGACGGGGTTGTGGTGTGAGGGAAATTCCGGGGAGGACGGGGTTGTGGTGTGAGGGGAAATTCCAGGGAGGACGGGGTTGTGGTGTGAATGGACATTCCGGGGAGGACGAGGTTTTGGTGTGAGGGGACATTCCGGGGAAGACGGGGTTGTGGTGTGAATGGACATTCCGGGAAGACGGGGTTGTGGTGTGAGGGGAAATTACGGGGAGGACGGGGTTGTGGTGTGAGGGGAAATTCCAGGGAGGACAGGGTTGTGGTGTGAGGGGACATTCATTCCGGGGAGGACGGGGTTTTGGTGTGAGGGACATTCCGGGGAAGACGGGGTTGTAGTGTGAATTGGACATTCCGGGAAGAATTCTGGGGGGACAGGGTTGGAGGTGGTGTGAGGGACATTCCGGGGAGGACGGGGTTTGGTGTGAGGGACATTCTGGAGAGAACAGGGGTTGTGATGTGAGGGGACATTCCGGGGAGAACGGGGTTGTGGTGTGAGGTGACATGTCCAGAAGCATGGTTTTACACAAAACACTAGTTCGTTTCCTTTCTATGACTGACAATATATTCGTTTGTGGTCAGTGTCGGAGACATGGGTCATAGAGGTCATAGCGGTCATAGAGGTCAGTCACACCACGGGTGCTTGTTCTTACAGTGGTGGGTGATGACGGACACTGGTCAGATTATGCAGGACACCATGACGCTGTGCTACGAGGGTGGACGACTGCGATTCAACCGCTGTACACCAAGGTCTCCCTACTGGATCCTGAATTATAAAGTAGGTGCCTCACCACAGTCACGGTCTGATACAGTCAGTCACAGTAACATACAGTAACAAGGAGATTTACAGTCACAATCACAGTAACAGCCACAGTCACAGACAGTCACAATAACATTTACAGCCAGTGAGAATCACAGTCACATGTACGTTTGTCACCGTCACATTCAGTCAGTCATACTCGAAGTCACAATCACAGTCACAATAACAGCCATAATCACAGTCACAGTCTGTCAAATCACAGTCACTATTACACAGTCGCAGTAAAGTCACATTTCCAGCGACCGCCTCCGTGATGTAGTGGTTAGAGCATCCGCCCGGAGAGCGGAAGGTCGCGGGTTCGATCCCCGAGGGTTCGATCATACAAAAAGACGTTAAAATATGGTACTTGTTGGTCCCTGCCTGGCACTCGTCATTAATGGGTACATCAAGGACTGGTCAGTATAATGTGTCTGAGTGGGGTATTCATGCTCACCTGTGGCACGGTATCTCAGTGGGCTAGCACTATAAAACCAGCTTAAGTCTGGGCTAGTACAAGCAGCCGCACATACACATACACACGCATGCACGTCGTCATATGAGCGAAATATTCTCAAGCACGACGTTAAACCAAATTTCACCTCACCTCACCTCACCTCACCTCACCTCACCTCACCTCACCTCACCTCACCTCACCTCACCTCACCTCACCTCACATTTTCAGCCACAGTAGCATTATCAGTTGTAATCATTATTCAACAACACCTTGAAGTGCTCATTACCATCTCTGACATCTCTGTCTCTCATAATAACCTTAGCGGTCTGTGTCTCCCAATGTCCTCGGTGGTCTGTGTCTCCCAATATCCCAGTGGTCTGTGTCTCTCTATACCCAGTGGTCTGTGTCTCCCAATGTCCTCGGTGGTCTGTGTCTCCCAATGTCCCAGTGGTCTGTGTCTCCCAATATCCCAGTGGTCTGTGTCTCCCAATATACCCAGTGGTCTGTGTCTCCCAATGTCCTCAGTGGTCTGTGTCTCCCAATGTCCCAGTGGTCTGTGTCTCCCAATGTCCCAGTGGTCTGTGTCTCCCAATGTCCCAGTGGTGTGTGTCTCTATACCCAGTGGTCTGTGTCTCCCAATGTCCTCGGTGGTCTGTGTCTCCCAATGTCCCAGTGGTCTGTGTCTCCCAATATCCCAGTGGTCTGTGTCTCCCAATGTCCTCGGTGGTCTGTGTCTCCCAATGTCCCAGTGGTCTGTGTCTCCCAATATCCCAGTGGTCTGTGTCTCCCAATGTCCTCGGTGGTCTGTGTCTCCCAATGTCCCAGTGGTCTGTGTCTCTCTATCCCCAGTGGTCTGTGTCTCCCAATGTCCTCGGTGGTCTGTGTCTCCCAATGTCCCAGTGGTCAGTGTCTCCCAATATCCCAGTGGTCTGTGTCTGTCTATACCCAGCGGTCTGTGTCTCCCAATGTCCTCGGTGGTCTGTGTCTCCCAATGTCCCAGTGGTCTGTGTCTCCCAATGTTCCCAGTGGTATGTGTCTCCCAATATGCCAGTGGTCTGTGTCTTTCAATATCCCAGTGGTATGTGTCTCCGAATATGCCAGTGGTATGTGTCCCCCAATATACTAGTGGTATGTGCCTACCAATATCCCCAGTGATTTGTTTCTCACAATATCCCCAGTTGTCAGTGTCTCCCAATATCCACAGTGGTCAGTGTCTTCCAATGTCCTCGGTTGTCAGTGTCTCCCAATTACCCCAGTGGTCTGTGTCTTCCAATATCCACAGTGGTCAGTGTCTCCCAATGTCCTCGGTGGTCTGTGTCTCCCAATATCCCCAGTTGTCAGTGTCTCCCAATATCCACAGTGGTCAGTGTCTTCCAATGTCCTCGGTGGTCTGTGTCTCCCAATAACCCCAGTGGTCGGTGTCTTCCAATGTCCTCGGTTGTCAGTGTCTCCCAATTACCCCAGTGGTCTGTGTTTTCCAATATCCACAGTGGTCAGTGTCTCCCAATGTCCTCGGTGGTCTGTGTCTCCCAATATCCCGAGTGGTCTGTGTCTCCCAATGTCCTCGGTGGTCTGTGGCTCCAAATATCCCCAGTGGTCTGTGTCTCCCAATATCCCAGTGGTCTGTGTTTTCCAATATCCACAGTGGTCAGTGTCTCCCAATATCCACAGTGGTCAGTGTCTCCCAATGTCCTCGGTGGTCTGTGTCTCCCAATATCCCCAGTGGTCTGTGTCTCCCAATGTCCTCGGTGGTCTGTGGCTCCAAATATCCCCAGTGGTCTGTGTCTCCCAATATCCCAGTGGTCTGTGTCTCCCAATGTCCCCGATGGTCTGTGTCTCCCAATATCCCAGTGGTCAGTGTCTCCCAATATACACAGTTGTCAGTGTCTCCCAATATCCCCAGTGGTCTGTGTCTCCCAATGTCCTCGGTGGTCTGTGGCTCCAAATATCCCCAGTGGTCTGTGTCTCCCAATATCCCAGTGGTCTGTGTCTCCCAATGTCCCCGATGGTCTGTGTCTCCCAATATACACAGTTGTCAGTGTCTCCCAATATCCCAGTGGTCAGTGTCTCCCAATATACACAGTTGTCAGTGTCTCCCAATATCCTAGTGGTCTGTGTCTCCCAATAACCCGGTGGTCAGTCTCTCCCAATAATCCCAGTGGTATGTGTCTCCCAATATCCACAGTGGTCTCTGTTTCCCAAAATACACAATGGTCTGTGTCTCCCAATATCCCAAAGGTCTGTGTCTCCCAATATCCCAGAGATCAGTGTCTCCCAATAACCCCAGTGGTCTGTGTCTCCCAATATGCCAGTGGTCTGTGTCTCCCAATATCCCAGTGGTCTGTGTCTCCCAATATCCCAGTGGTCTGTGTCTCCCAATATACCCGGTGGTCTGTGTCTCTCAATATCCCAGTGGTCTGTGTCTCCCAATGTCCCAGTGGTCTGTGTCTCCCAATGTCCCAGTGGTCTGTGTCTCCCAATATACCCGTTGGTCTGTGTCTCCCAATATCCCAGTGGTCTGTGTCTCCCAATATACCCGATGGTCTGTGTCTCCCAATATACCCGGTGGTCTGTGTCTCCCAATATCCCAGTGGTCTGTGTCTCCCATTATACCCGGTGGTCTGTGTCTCCCAATATCCCAGTTGTCTGTGTCTCCCAATGTCCCAGTGGTCTGTGTCTCTCTATACACAGTGGTCTGTGTCTCTCAATGTCCTCGGTGGCCTGTGTCTCCCAATATATCCGGTGGTCTGTGTCTCCCAATATCCCAGTGGTCTGTGTCTCTCTATACCCAGTGGTCTGTGTCTCCCAATGTCCTCGGTGGCCTGTGTCTCCCAATATACCCGGTGGTCTGTGTCTCCCAATATCCCAGTGGTCTGTGTCTCCCAATATACCCGGTGGTCTGTGTCTCCCAATATACCCGGTGGTCTGTGTCTCCCAATATCCCAGTGGTCTGTGTCTCCCATTATACCCGGTGGTCTGTGTCTCCCAATATCCCAGTTGTCTGTGTCTCCCAATGTCCCAGTGGTCTGTGTCTCTATACATACAGTGGTCTGTGTCTCCCAATGTCCCGGTGGTCTGTGTCTCCCAATATACCCGGTGGTCTGTGTCTCCCAATATCCCAGTGGTCTGTGTCTCTCTATACCCAGTGGTCTGTGTCTCCCAATGTCCTCGGTGGCCTGTGTCTCCCAATATACCCGGTGGTCTGTGTCTCCCAATATCCCAGTGGTCTGTGTCTCCCAATATACCCGGTGGTCTGTGTCTCCCAATATCCCAGTGGTATGTGTCTCCCAATATACCCGGTGGTCTGTGTCTCCCAATATGCCAGTGGTCTGTGTCTCCCAATATACCCGGTGGTCTGTGTCTCCCAATATCCCAGTGGTCTGTGTCTCCCAATATACCCGGTGGTCTGTGTCTCCCAATATCCCAGTGGTATGTGTCTCCCAATGTCCCAGTGGTCTGTGTCTCCCAATGTCCCAGTGGTATGTGTCTCCCAATATACCCGTTGGTCTTTGTCTCCCAATATACCCGGTGGTCTTTGTCTCCCAATATACCCTGTGGTCTGTGTCTCCCAATATCCCAGTGGTCTGTGTCTCCCAATATACCCGGTGGTCTGTGTCTCCCAATATCCCAGTGGTCTGTGTCTCCCAATGTCCTCTTTGGCCTGTGTCTCCCAATATCCCAGTGGTCTGTGCCTCCCAATGTCCCAGTGGTCTGTGTCTCCCAATGTCCCCAGTGGTATGTGTCTCCCAATATGCCAGTGGTCTGTGTCTTTCAATATCCCAGTGGTATGTGTCTCCGAATATGCCAGTGGTATGTGTCCCCCAATATACTAGTGGTATGTGCCTACCAATATCCCCAGTGATCTGTTTCTCACAATATCCCCAGTTGTCAGTGTCTCCCAATATCCACAGTGGTCAGTGTCTTCCAATGTCCTCGGTTGTCAGTGTCTCCCAATTACCCCAGTGGTCTGTGTCTTCCAATATCCACAGTGGTCAGTGTCTCCCAATGTCCTCGGTGGTCTGTTTCTCACAATATCCCCAGTTGTCAGTGTCTCCCAATATCCACAGTGGTCAGTGTCTTCCAATGTCCTCGGTGGTCTGTGTCTCCCAATAACCCCAGTGGTCGGTGTCTTCCAATGTCCTCGGTTGTCAGTGTCTCCCAATTACCCCAGTGGTCTGTGTCTTCCAATATCCACAGTGGTCAGTGTCTCCCAATGTCCTCGGTGGTCTGTGTCTCCCAATATCCCGAGTGGTATGTGTCTCCCAATGTCCGCGGTGGTCTGTGTCTCCCAATATCCCCAGTGGTCTGTGTCTCCCAATGTCCTCGGTGGTCTGTGTCTCCAAATATCCCCAGTGGTCTGTGTCTCCCAATATCCCAGTGGTCTGTGTCTCCCAATGTCCCCGATGGTCTGTGTCTCCCAATATACACAGTTGTCAGTGTCTCCCAATATACACAGTTGTCAGCGTCTCCCAATATCCCAGTGGTCAGTGTCTCCCAATATACACAGTTGTCAGTGTCTCCCAATATCCCAGTGGTCTGTGTCTCCCAATAACCCGGTGGTCAGTCTCTCCCAATAACCCCAGTGGTCTGTGTCTCCCAATATCCCCAGTGGGCTGTGTCTCCCAAAATACACAATGGTCTGTGTCTCCCAATATCCCAAAGGTCTGTGTCTCCAAATATCCCAGAGATCAGTGTCTCCCAATATGCCAGTGGTCTGTGTCTCCCAATAACCCCAGTGGTCTGTGTCTCCCAATATCCCAGTGGTCTGTGTCTCCCAATAACCCCAGTGGTCTGTGTCTCCCAATATCCCAGTGGTCTGTGTCTCCCAATATCCCAGAGGTCTGTGTCTCCCAATATCCCAGTGGTCTGTGTCTCCCAATATCCCAGAGGTCTGTGTCTCTAAATATCCCAGTTGTCAGTGTCCCCAATACCCCGGTGGTCAGTGTCTCCCAATATCCCCAGTGGTGTGTGTATCCAAATATGCACAGTGGTCAGTGTCTACCAATATCCCCAGTGGTGCGTGTCTCCCAATATCCCCAGTGGTCTGTGTCTCCCAATATCCCAGTGGTCTGTGTCTACCAATATCCCCGGTGGTCTGTGTCTCCCAATGTTCCCGGTGGTCTGTGTCTCCAAATATCCCCAGTGGTCTGTGTCTGCCAATATCCCCAGTGGTCTGTGTCTCCCAATATACACAGTTGTCAGTGTCTCCCAATATCCCAGTGTTCTGTGTCTCCCAATATACACAGTGGTCTGCCTCTCCCAATACCCCCAGTGGTCTGTGTCTGCCAATATCCCAGTGGTCTGTGTCTCCCAATATCCCCAGTGGTCTGTGTCTCCCAATATCCTCAGTGGTCTGTGTCTCCCAATATTCCCAGTGATCTGTGTCTCCCAATACCCCAGTGGTCTGTGTCTCCCAATATCCCCAGTGGTCTGTGTCTCCCAATAACCCAGTGGTCTGTGTCTCCAAATAACCCCAGTGGTCTGTGTCTCCCAATATCCCCAGTGGTCTGTGTCTCCCAATATCCAAGCGGTCTGTGTCTCCAAATAACCCCAATGGTCTGTGTCTCCCACTATCCCCAGTGGTCTGTGTCTCCCACTATCCCCAGTGGTCTGTGTCTCCCAATTTCCCCAGTGGTCTGTGTCTCCCAATATCCTCAGTGGTCTGTGTCTCCCAATATTCCCAGTGATCTGTGTCTCCCAATACCCCAGTGGTCTGTGTCTCCCAATATCCCCAGTGGTCTGTGTCTCCCAATAACCCAGTGGTCTGTGTCTCCAAATAACCCCAGTGGTCTGTGTCTCCCAATATCCCAGCGGTCTGTGTCTCCCAATATCCCCAGTGGTCTGTGTCTCCCAATATCCCAATGGTCTGTGTCTCCCAATATCCCCAGTGGTCTGTGTCTCCCAATATCCCAGTGGTCTGTGTTTCAGTCTCAGACAATTCAGCACGCAGCTAGTGGTCTCTGTATTGAGCTGACGCCTCCCACCACAGTCACCCTTGAGAGATGTAATGGCGGACAAAACCAACGCTGGGTGCTGCCGAAGAAGAAGTCTTGACAACAATCTGCAGTGACACAATCATCAGAACAAGCCATAGCCCTGTCTTAACAATCCTTGAGTGAATCTAACTATGATATAATTATGTGTTTATTAACCACTATCACATTATCGTGCTGACACGTGTTCGCAAACACGTGGGCGTAACTGGGCCGACCGGTACACATCACAAACACATGCAGAGGCAAGTGATCTCTTCATCTGGAGTAACACCGACACATATGATATGTGTAAAAATAGGGGATTGCATCACACATCACATTCCAAGTGTAAATAGTTTCCACACGTTTATCATAAAGATATGAGCTTTGCCGAGGCTTGTTAATACCATGAGAAAAAAACTTCTGTGCAAGGATCGCAGGCGTCTGAGTACCCGGGATTTCAGATGACGACCACTGGATGGAACATTGCGTTAGTGATTTTTAATCAAATTCAGTGACAGCTGTCAAAACGTTTCACATCAATAAGCCATGGTATTAATGGCATCGCAGGCCACACACAAAAGCTTAGTGGACACTTAGTGGACACTTATTGGTGGTGATAGGTTTAAGGTTTTTAAGATGTTTTTGGTCAGGTGATAAACCACGTTCAATGTCTGGTCACAGCAACCATTCAGTTAGTCTCGCGATGTGTTAACTAGCTGTACAGTGTCTTACTTAATCTTACAGAGTTAACTAACTGTACACCTTCTCACTTCGTCTCATGTGTTAAGAGGTGGCTCTTATCGAGTTCCCCACTTTTCAAAGTATATCACGGCGGGCGACATCAGAGAAAGGGAACTATATATGCGCGCGCTCGTGCGTGCGTGTGTGCGTGTGTGTGTACATAAATATTTGTATTACACTTCAATAATGTAAATAAAAGGGGGAGATTATGTATCTCTTGTGTCACTTGTTTGAGTGGCATTTTAGAAGTTGAGAAGTTGAGATTCTTGTACCGTTGTCAAGCAAGAGTGATACATGTATCACTCTTGCTTGACAACGGTACAAGAATCTGTATCGAAACGTCGCACTCACGAAAATAAAGAAGTTTGTTATCCATAAAACTTGTTATATATTGTATCTCTTGTGTCGTTTTCATTTTTACTATACACTACCATAAACTTTGTCAGTGATCGACAAAGTCGCCCTTAAGAGCAGTTTGTAAGACACACAGTAACCATAGCAGAATGTCCACAGCATGTCCACCAATAGACAACAACCGACCCTTATGTAACTCCATTGACAACAACCGACCCCTATGTAACTAAATAAAGAACAACCGATCCCTTATATGTAACTACATAGACAACAACCGACCACTAAAATGTAACTCCATAGACAACAATTGACCCCTATGTAACTCCATAGACAACAGCTGACCCCTATGTAACTCCATAGACAACAGCTGACCCTTATGACCTACAGTGTGTCTCTCCAAGACAACAGGTGACCCCTATGACCTACCGTGTTTCCCTCCAAGACACCAGCTGATCCCTATGATCTACAGTGTGTCCCTCCAAGACAACAGCTGACCCTATGACCTATAGTGTCTCCCTCCAAGACAACAGCTGAAAACTATGACCTACAGTGTGTCCCTCCAAGACAACAGCTGACCCTATGACCTACAGTGTGTCACTCCAAGACAACAGCTGACCCCGATTACCTACAGTGTCTGCCTCCAAGACAACAGCTGACCCCTTTAACCTACAGTGTGTCCCTCCAAGGCTACAGCTGAGCCCAATGACCTACAGTGTGTCCCTCCAAGACAACAGCTGACCCCGATGACCTTCAGTGTGTCCCTCCAAGACAACAGCTGATCCCGATGACCATCGGTGTGTCCCCCCAAGACAAAAGCTGACCCCGATGACCATCGGTGTGTCCCCCCAAGACAAAAGCTGACCCCGATGACCATCGGTGTGTCCCCCCAAGACAAAAGCTGACCCCGATGACCTACAGTGTGTCCCTCCAAGACAACAGCTGACCCCGATGACCTACAATGTGTCCCTCCAAAACAACAGCTGACCCCGATGACCTACAGTGTGTCCCTCCAAGACAACAGCTCACCCCGATGACCTACAGTGTGACCAATATGACCTACAACTTGTCTCTCAAAGACAACAGCTGACCCATATGACCTACAGCTTGTCCCTCCAAGACAACAGATGACCCCGATGACCTACAATGTGTGTCCTTCCAAGACAACAGCTGACCCCTATTATCTACAATGTTTCCCTCATCGGCAGATGGGGCGGTGGGGTAGCCTAGTGGTTAAAGCGTTGGCTCGTCGCGCTGAAGACCCGGGTTCGATTCCCCACATGGGCACAATGTGTTAAGCCCATTTCTGGTGTCCCCCGCCGTGATATTGCTGGAATATTGCTAAAAGCGGCGTAAAACCAAACTCAGTCAGTCAGTCATCGGCAGATGAGATCCTGTTACTGGCCTGGGTAAACATCGGCAGATGAGAACCTGCTTGTGGCCTGGGTAAACTGACTGACTGACTGAGTTTGGTTTTACGCCGCTTTTAGCAATATTCCAGCAACATCACGGCGGGGAACACCAGAAATGAGCTTCACATTGTACCCATGTGGGATTCGAACCCGGGTCTTCTGCGTGACGAGCCAACGCTTTACCACTAGGCTACCCCACCGCCCCGCCTGGTAAACATCAGCAGGTGAGAACCTGCTAGTGGCCTGGGTAAACATCGGCAGGTGAGAACCTGCTTGTGGCCAGGGTAAACATCGGCAGGTGAGAACCTGCTAGTGGCCAGGGTAAACATCGGCAGGTGAGAACCTGCTAGTGGCCAGGGTAAACATCGGCAGGTGAGAACCTGCTTGTGGCCAGGGTAAACATCGGCAGGTGAGAACCTGCTAGTGGCCAGGGTAAACATCGGCAGGTGAGAACCTGCTAGTGGCCAGGGTAAACATCGGCAGAAAAGAACCTGATTGTGGCCAGGGTAAACATCGGCAGATGAGAACCTGCTAGTGGCCTGGGTGAACATCGGCAGATGAGAACCTGCTTGTGGCCTGGGTAAACTGACTGACTGACTGAGTTTGGTTTTACGCCGCTTTTAGCAATATTCCAGCAACATCACGGCGGGGAACACCAGAAATGAGCTTCACACATTGTACCCATGTGGGGATTCGAACCCGGGTCTTCTGCGTGACGAGCCAACGCTTTACCACTAGGCTACCCCACCGCCCCGCCTGGGTAAACATCAGCAGGTGAGAACCTGCTAGTGGCCTGGGTAAACATCGGCAGGTGAGAACCTGCTTGTGGCCAGGGTAAACATCGGCAGGTGAGAACCTGCTAGTGGCCAGGGTAAACATCGGCAGGTGAGAACCTGCTAGTGGCCAGGGTAAACATCGGCAGGTGAGAACCTGCTTGTGGCCAGGGTAAACATCGGCAGGTGAGAACCTGCTAGTGGCCAGGGTAAACATCGGCAGGTGAGAACCTGCTAGTGGCCAGGGTAAACATCGGCAGAAAAGAACCTGATTGTGGCCAGGGTAAACATCGGCAGATGAGAACCTGCTAGTGGCCTGGGTGAACATCGGCAGATAAGAACCTGATTGTGGCCAGGGTAAACATCGGCAGGTGAGAACCTGCTAGTGGCCAGGGTAAACATCGGCAGGTGAGAACCTGCTTGTGGCCAGGGTAAACATCGGCAGGTGAGAACCTGCTAGTGGCCAGGGTAAACATCGGCAGGTGAGAACCTGCTAGTGGCCAGGGTAAACATCGGCAGGTGAGAACCTGCTTGTGGCCAGGGTAAACATCGGCAGATAAGAACCTGATTGTGGCCAGGGTAAACATCGGCAGATGAGAACCTGCTAGTGGCCTGGGTGAACATCGGCAGATAAGAACCTGCTAGTGGCCAGGGTAAACATCGGCAGAAAAGAACCTGATTGTGGCCTGGGTGAACATCGGCAGGTGAGAACCTGCTTGTGGCCAGGGTAAACATCGGCAGATGAGAACCTGCTAGTGGCCTGGGTGAACATCGGCAGATAAGAACCTGCTAGTGGCCAGGGTAAACATCGGCAGGTGAGAACCTGCTTGTGGCCAGGGTAAACATCGGCAGGTGAGAACCTGCTAGTGGCCAGGGTAAACATCGGCAGGTGAGAACCTGCTAGTGGCCAGGGTAAACATCGGCAGAAAAGAACCTGATTGTGGCCAGGGTGGCATCGGCAGATGAGAACCTGCTAGTGGCCTGGGTGAACATCGGCAGATAAGAACCTGATTGTGGCCAGGGTAAACATCGGCAGGTGAGAACCTGCTAGTGGCCAGGGTAAACATCGGCAGGTGAGAACCTGCTTGTGGCCAGGGTAAACATCGGCAGGTGAGAACCTGCTAGTGGCCAGGGTAAACATCGGCAGGTGAGAACCTGCTAGTGGCCAGGGTAAACATCGGCAGGTGAGAACCTGCTTGTGGCCAGGGTAAACATCGGCAGATAAGAACCTGATTGTGGCCAGGGTAAACATCGGCAGATGAGAACCTGCTAGTGGCCTGGGTGAACATCGGCAGATAAGAACCTGCTTGTGGCCAGGGTAAACATCGGCAGAAAAGAACCTGATTGTGGCCAGGGTAAACATCGGCAGATGAGAACCTGCTAGTGGCCTGGGTGAACATCGGCAGATAAGAACCTGATTGTGGCCAGGGTGAACATCGGCAGGTGAGAACCTGCTAGTGGCCTGGGTGAACATCGGCAGATAAGAACCTGATTGTGGCCAGGGTAAACATCGGCAGATAAGAACCTGATTGTGGCCAGGGTAAACATCGGCAGATGAGAACCTGCTAGTGGCCAGGGTAAACATCGGCAGATGAGAACCTGCTAGTGGCCTGGGTGAACATCGGCAGATAAGAACCTGATTGTGGCCAGGGTAAACATCGGCAGGTGAGAACCTGCTAGTGGCCTGGGTGAACATCGGCAGATAAGAACCTGATTGTGGCCTGGGTGAACATCGGCAGATAAGAACCTGATTGTGGCCAGGGTACACATCAGCAGATGAGAACCTGCTTTTTAGTCATGTACGTTTTCGGATACCCCGGCTTGTATGTTGAACATGGGGATGAGAATTAGAGATGGCACTGCTCTGAAGCCACAGACATAGATGTCAGCATTATCATCACTTCGGCTCAGCTTTGGTGGAGGTGTCACCACTGACATCGTCCAAGGGTGTGCACCAGTCCGCCACGGCTCCACTCAAGAACTGAACCCCCCAAACAACAAGAATATGTGTGTTGATGTGTATCTGTCGCTATTATGGATTTCTGTGATTGGAGGAGCGAAAGGGCATTACATGTGTAGCCGGGTGTGATGTGTTATGTCCAGCCACTGGCAAAAGGCCAATATGACAATACTATGGGGGGTTATGAGAGGGTGGTACTTAAGTGGTAATACCTCAGTCAGAGGTATAGCCACCACCCTGCTACACGTGCAACAACATTAGCTTCATAAAACATACGGTCACAGTGCCGCGGTACAAGATCCGTAGTAGGGAAACCGGGTCCAGCAAATTGGAGCGTGTCTCAAAAATACAACTTTCCGTCAACGGCACGCACGTGCTGAGTCCGTGCAAGACGACGCTATAAAACCATTGCACGTGAAGTCCGAGCTCTAAGTTACGTCGCTGACGGAAAGGTAAGGTGAATATTAACACGTCCTCTTTCATGACCTTTGTGCAGATCTATTAGGGTAAGTTAAGTGTTGTAATTTAACCCAGAGTTTGATGAAAGTCGTGGACTGAGATGTTTGCTGTCCGGGTAAGAGTTCCGCCCGTAACCCCAGCTTGAAATGTATTGTATATATTATGATTATTACTAGGGTTTAGGGTTAAGCATTGTTAGGGTCAGGGTTAGGGTAAGGGTAAGCTTTCTATTAAAATAATGATGGCTGAGAAGCACGTGTTTTGTTGGTATAGAGGACGTGTTTGTGTTTCAGATTCACCATGTCTGTTGGAACCACCGTACTGGCCCTCCTCCTCGTCTCGGTGAGTGAACGACGTCTTGTAGGTTAACCTCGTCCCACCCCTGACCATGCATACGTATTTCGATAAATCAAATGTATAATCAAATTTACCATGTCCACGTCAGTTGTATTCAAGTATTGCATAACATAGTCAGTCACTGAACCATATTTTCCCTACAGCCTAGCCCTCTGCAATGCTAAAGCCCTAAATGAAGTACAATTGTGAGTCTTAATTACTCTGGTCTCCTTTCAAGTCAATTGGGTTTATTTCTTACACTCGAAATTATATATACATTCAGAGACTTAAGTGTTAGGCTTAAATATGGTAATTCTTCTGTTATTCGACAAAAGCATTATTTGGCTTGTGTTTTACGTCATGAACGTGGAATATTTACGACGATTCATAACCTCCCGGGCGGGTCCGTATAACTATCTACTGTAACTAAAATATTTTACTCGTATTTTCCATATACGGCCTTAAGTGTCCAATAACCGAGCTCGTGTTTCCGTCAATCAAATACTGTGCACGAGATCGGTATGCATATTTGGCTAGCCTGGAAATTATATCACCATTCTGTGGTGGTACAAACTATGATCCATGCACCTTGACTTCGTCAGATCCTTTCAACTGAACCTAAAGTACTGTCGGAAATGGGACAAACTCTTTTGGGTAATTTATATCTACAATTTATGTAGTTGATGTGAAAGTGAAATCTGTTATGCTAAATTCGCCCAACTATTATATCGGTGAGATAGTCTAATCTCTCCTCATTAAAGTCCTTTTTTTATGTTGCATAAGTGCAGAAATGAGCAATGCGGTTTTTCCTAAGTCCAAAGCGACTTATTTATTAACAGACCATGGCTTTATGAAAATTAGTGTGCCATGATATTGTTTTATAAAGGGTCTTTAATTTCCCATTTTCAAATTAAACTCCATTAGAAACGATAGCGGAAGTAATAAATAACTTTAATACTGAAACTTATTTATGGAGCTACCAGTATCACTATAAAAAGTAACAGGAGGCGGTGTCTCCAACGCAAAACCAGGCCGGGTGTCACTGACTGTGGTTGGGGTCGGCCTAGGGATAGTTATCAGCTGAGATAAGGTAATCCTCCCGGGGAAGTTAACTGGGGATGCAAACGGCATGTCATAACAATTAACAAAATATCCTGTCCTGTCGATCCTAGGGTGGACATGCCACCTATATTTTGAGGCGTTTAATACAATGGTTTAAGCTTTCTATGGGTATCGTACTCTTTCATATCTCAACATATACTATGAAAGAAAGACTCGTAAGATGTTAATCAATAGATGAGACATATTCGACACGCATGAAAAAGCATAAAAATCTTTGAGATGACCATGTGCTTCGAGGCAGCACATGCATTTCATGGCGGCGGGTGAGCGACGGTCAGTCGTCATACCTGGCTGAACAACCTAGCTCGGCAGCTATTTTATATAAATTCCCGATTTTACGAGTAAACATGCTTTTCTGGATATCTTATTTCGCATTCCTCTGAACGCCCAGTTATGCCACTGTGGGTTATTTCGACATACTATATGCAATTGTGTAAGTTTCAGGGATACATAGTAACAGCCTAAGATCAGTTTTCTATATCGGACAGTACTTTAGTCAATGGTTTCTCACACAGTTGAACAGAACTTTCTCAGCAAGGCTGTTACCGCTGTGATTCAATGGTCATTGTCGTCACGCTGTGTCCACTAGTATACCATGCCTAGTCCCGGCATATAAACAAGTAGTGTGCTTTACTGGAAGTGGTCGCTTGTATTATGTGATAGTGGGTTCATTATAACATCCGGGTTATACATTTCCTGACAGGCCGTCGTCCGAGCGGAGATTCCTGCCGGTTACAATGCCCTGTGTAACCATGCCAGGTCCAGTGTAGGTAACTCAGCATGCCAGATTGGTCCAGTGTCGTGGTACTGCCAACAGCGTTTCAATGCCCTGTGTAACCATGCAGCTTCCCTTGGCCCTATGCTTCAGGGGCGGATACAACTTTTAAGAACGGCTGCACACTTCATTTTCACGAGTACCAATGGTCGTTTGATAAACTCAGGACGAAAGGGGGATGTGCACCCATGCACATGCACCCACCTGGATCCGCCTATCTACTTAAAAACTATAGTCGCAAGTTTGTTACTCTCGCGCCATGGCTTATGCTCGTACTATCGGCCTCTGGTTAAATGCCGTGTAATATTTACACAACTGGCCACCCCAACTTGCTGACACTGAATGTTCCACAAACGCTCGATGAGTGGTTCTCTGTAATCTGTCACTTTAACTGCCAGTGTATTCAGTTGAGCCTGTGAAAGCATTTAACTAGCTTTTTCTATACAGCAAGATAGTGTCGTAAATGCTAAGTAAACTTATTCCCCCCTGACCATGTACATCTGTTCATCAGTAACCCCAAACTGCGGTGCCAACGACAAAACGGACGCCTCGGTCACCATCGTCACCGATCTGAATGCCAAGGCCAAGGCCGTATGTCTGGGAAACAAGGAAGTGGCCTTCACCTCCACAGACGGGGTCAACTTCGTCCTGCCCTTCTCCTACCCAGGTCGAGGCTCCAAACCCTGCTCATTTACTGTAAGTTCACAGCAGGAATATTTTAAGGGACGAATCCGCCTGGTGTTTGGACAATGAATGGACAATTGACTTTCCTTGCCAAACATAGACGCGGTTCATTACGGGCGCACACGTGTCAGTACGTTCAGACACCAAATGCTCGTCCCATATAACGAGTCGTTTGGCGAGTGACATTAACAATATTTAGTGTTCCTAATATACAGTGTAAGAAATGTTGACAGGTATTTACTTCGAGTCATGTACCCGACTCGTGACTGCCAAGCTGTATGTTTCAGAAACGTACCAAGTCCCGGGTGTACACGGTGAAGGTGATCGTGTCGTATGGCGAGCCCGGCAGCCTGGTTCACCAGTACACGGAGGAGTACACCGTCACCTGCACATTCAGCCCCAAGGGCTTCGACACAAGCAAGAACCAGAAAATAGCCGACACGTGAGAGATTGTGGTGTTATACTGCATCTTGTACGCCCTTGCTGCAGTAATATTTGCAGTATTTATTTGTTGCAGAAATGTTAGATTTACTTAAATCTGGTTGATCTTCGAACGCTCTTGTTACAATTTACAAGTTTTACCGCGAACCTTTTTCAGTCCATCGGCCATGAAGGGATTGCCTGGTGGTTAAAGCTTTATGCCTACAGCCCATTTCTGGCGTCTTCCTCTCCCCGTGAAGGTTGCTGGAATATTGCTAAGAGCGCCATGAAACTAAAACTCGCTCACTGCCAAACTAATCGTTGCCCATTCGATATTGTCACAACAGCTATTTGACCTAAGCCAAATGGTCAAATGTTGCTTGTCACACTAAATGTCTACAGCCTGATCGCGGCCAAGGAGATCCAGACCAACGTGGGGGGCACCAGCAGATCCACCATTCACCTCAAGATGGTGGACGTCCTCGGACACAACCTCAACGGCAGGACCGTGGACCTCGGCAGGACGGTGCAACTAAAGGCCGTCAATACAGGTACAATCTACATCCACTGCATTCCGTTTGTCTTCAAATCAAAAAGATGAATTACAAAGTAACTTGGGAATAGTCCAGTAAAATTAGGTACACGACAATGAATACCCTGTAGAATAGGTCTTCACATATATATGTATATATCATGTTTATGGGTACAAAGTTATTGAACGTAGGGACACTGCGTTTGAAGGAACATACCAGTCATTGTGTACGTGCTAATACGGTTCTATATGTATACATGACAAGATGACACTCGGCTGATGTTTTACTTATTTTCAAAGGTCTGATTTCCAGTGTGAAAACGTTTTATGCAATTAATAAATAAACGAGCTTCCACTGCTATTGGAGTATACAATGACAATACGAATCGGCTCAGTCGGGCCAAGCAGGAAGAACATGTCGAAATCATGTTGGGTTCATAAATAAGAATTTTCAAGAAAATTAAGTTGCGCTCGCAGTCGTAAAAATGCGTTCTGGAAATAAGTACTTCCCCAAAAGACTTTTGAAGAAATACCTTGAAATTAACCATTCAATTACTACAAACAAGCTATGGCAAAGCAGGGCTCCAGATAATTTTTCATGATCAGGAGTACGTACTCCATATTTGTTCAACATGTTCAATATAGAATTACTGGAAAAAGAGTACATTTAGAGTACTGAATGGAATTTAATGGCGTATCAGTAATCTTGTGTTTCGTTTCATATATGCAGCACAACATTGCTACCCACCTGGATCCGCCTATCTACTTAAAAACTATAGTCGCAAGTTTGTTACTCTCGCGCCATGGCTTATGCTCGTACTATCGGCCTCTGGTTAAATGCCGTGTAATATTTACACAACTGGCCACCCCAACTTGCTGACACTGAATGTTCCACAAACGCTCGATGAGTGGTTCTCTGTAATCTGTCACTTTAACTGCCAGTGTATTCAGTTGAGCCTGTGAAAGCATTTAACTAGCTTTTTCTATACAGCAAGATAGTGTCGTAAATGCTAAGTAAACTTATTCCCCCCTGACCATGTACATCTGTTCATCAGTAACCCCAAACTGCGGTGCCAACGACAAAACGGACGCCTCGGTCACCATCGTCACCGATCTGAATGCCAAGGCCAAGGCCGTATGTCTGGGAAACAAGGAAGTGGCCTTCACCTCCACAGACGGGGTCAACTTCGTCCTGCCCTTCTCCTACCCAGGTCGAGGCTCCAAACCCTGCTCATTTACCTGTAAGTTCACAGCAGGAATATTTTAAGGGACGAATCCGCCTGGTGTTTGGACAATGAATGGACAATTGACTTTCCTTGCCAAACATAGACGCGGTTCATTACGGGCGCACACGTGTCAGTACGTTCAGACACCAAATGCTCGTCCCATATAACGAGTCGTTTGGCGAGTGACATTAACAATATTTAGTGTTCCTAATATACAGTGTAAGAAATGTTGACAGGTATTTACTTCGAGTCATGTACCCGACTCGTGACTGCCAGGCTGTATGTTTCAGAAACGTACCAAGTCCCGGGTGTACACGGTGAAGGTGATCGTGTCGTATGGCGAGCCGGGCAGCCTGGTTCACCAGTACACGGAGGAGTACACCGTCACCTGCACATTCAGCCCCAAGGGCTTCGACACAAGCAAGAACCAGAAAATAGCCGACACGTGAGAGAGATTGTGGTGTTATACTCGCATCTTGTACGCCCTTGCTGCAGTAATATTTGCAGTATTTATTTGTTGCAGAAATGTTAGATTTACTTAAATCTGGTTGATCTTCGAACGCTCTTGTTACAATTTACAAGTTTTACCGCGAACCTTTTTCAGTCCATCGGCCATGAAGGGGTTGCCTGGTGGTTAAAGCTTTATGCCTACAGCCCATTTCTGGCGTCTCCTCCCCGGTGAAGGTTGCTGGAATATTGCTAAGAGCGCCGTGAAACAAACTCGCTCACTGCCAAACTAATCGTTGCCCATTCGATATTGTCACAACAGCTATTTGACCTAAGCCAAATGGTCAAATGTTGCTTGTCACACTAAATGTCTACAGCCTGATCGCGGCCAAGGAGATCCAGACCAACGTGGGGGGCACCAGCAGATCCACCATTCACCTCAAGATGGTGGACGTCCTCGGACACAACCTCAACGGCAGGACCGTGGACCTCGGCAGGACGGTGCAACTAAAGGCCGTCAATACAGGTACAATCTACATCCACTGCATTCCGTTTGTCTTCAAATCAAAATATTAATTACAAAGTAACTTGGGAATAGTCCAGTAAATATTAAGGTACACGACAATGAATAGCCTGTAGAATAGGTCTTCATATATATGTATATATCATGTTTATGGGTACAAGTTATTGAACGTAGGGACACTGCGTTTGAAGGAACGTACCAGTCATTGTACGTGCTAATACGGTTCTATATGTATACATGACAAGATGACACTCGGCTGATGTTTTACTTATTTTCAAAGGTCTGATTTCCAGTGTGAAAACGTTTATGCAATTAATAAATACTTAAACGAGCTTCCACTGCTATTGGTATATACAAGTTGACAATACGAATCGACTCAGTCGGGCCAAGCAGGAAGAACATGTCGAAATCATGTTGGGTTCATAAATAAGAATTTTCAAAAATTAAGTTGCGCTCGCAGTCGTAAAAATGCGTTCTGGAAATAAGGTACTTCCCCAAAAGACTTTTGAAGAAATACCTTGAAATTAACCATTCAATTACTACAAACAAGCTATGGCAAAGCAGGGCTCCAGATAATTTTTCATGATCAGGAGTACGTACTCCATATTTGTTCAATATAGGAGTACTGGAAAACAGTACATTTAGAGTACTGAATGGAATTTAATGGCGTATCAGTAATCTTGTGTTTCGTTTCATATATGCAGCACAACATTGCTACTCTTGTGTAAACAATAAGACAATACTTTTCAGATAAATTCGTCTGTAAATGATTCTGAAACCGTACACCATTGCTGTGGTGCGTCTCTGCTACGTCTTTAAAATTGTTTCCTACCGTATCGTGCTTATTTTATATCCGTACATACGCTGATACAGCCCTTATCTGGAGCCCTGGCAAAATATCAACTTTATGGTCCGGCTGGGTAACAAAGACAATTTCACACATGGACTCGTGTGAGGAATCGAACCACGGTCTTCGGTGTGACGAACGACAATCGTAGCGTATAGAAGCATCTACACTCTTCGGTCAACGTTTTACATCTAAACCAGTCGTTTCTGGTGTAAGGCGACACGCGCCAGAGTTATCACAGGTGTAAAATGAAACATCTTTAGAGTCCCTCGCTCGTCATTCCAGGCTCAGAGGCAGGCATCCGGCCCATCTCCTGTGACGCCATAGACGGATCCTCGGCACGATACTCCATCCTCCGAGCAGGGTGAGTACAGGCCACGTAGACACGCATGTATTGTCCAGTGTTTCAGTAGACTATTTTACTTGAGTTATAGACATGCTAATAGTCGGTTAACAGTGTTGTGAATGTGAACTGCTGGCTGTATAAATCTTCATTTACTTTCTAGTTGTGGTGATGGTATTGTCTTCCCCAAAAACGTCGGCTTCACCACCATCGGGAAGAAAACCCAGAGTCCCTATTTTGAAGCCTTTACTGTCAACGTGAACTCCGCCTTGAAGTTTGAGTGTAACTTCACCATGTGTGCATCCAGGTGTGACGGGGTAGGTGCATCTGGAGTAAATGTTTCCTTGGTAAAGTAGTCCATGCTGCAGGAAAGACTGTCATCTGTAGCCTGCTGTAGACTAGAACAGGTTCTATGTAAGAGAAACTGTCCAAGAGCGTAAAGATTACTAACAGTAAACTTTCACTTTGAAGGTTCCAATAGTAGTAAAATAACAAATAAGTGGAGCTCCAACCTGACAATTGGGACGTTTAGCATGTATGCTTGCCATTGTTAGCGAAGGGCCCCAGGTTGTCGGCGATCAAGTTAAGTACGACTGGCTAGACAAGGCGTGTGCAACAGACCCTCGTGTCTTTGCGAGGGTTAAAGATTTCTGAAAAATATATATACAAGTTTGAAATGACCCTCGATTCGTAATGCTTATGTACAATACATTATGCCAAGGCCGGACACTTCGAACTCCAAAATAACAAAGAATTGGTAGGTGTCGTGAGTGGTGCTCGATAGGCAATCATCCATGATTGTTTACATTAAGTTTTGATAGATTGCATGCGATGGTAGAGTAGCGATCGGCGAAGCAGTCGGGTGGGGTGCATCGAAGTGTCCGGCCTTGTACATAATGTACTCATACATAGCATTTCGAGTCTAGGGGTCATTTCAAACTTTATGTATTTTTTTTATAAATCTTAATCCTCGCAAAGACACGAGGGCCTGTGATGTGCAGCTACGCGCGGAATCTATTTCATGCACATGCACTATCCTACATCTGCTCTACCTTAAACAAACCAAATGGATTTGCTCATTGCCGTGCACCGCCTAGTTCTCGTAAACGCGTTCTCTGCGCAGGTCCAACTTATCCTTGTGTGCCACTCACTTGTGCTTGTCACTATCTTGCAACGTTGATAACACCTTGTAACCCATCCGACTACATACCTCGTGATCAGTCATCCTCGACTGCACCCTGAATTAATGCCGCTTAAAGGTCACGTGTAACGTAAAACAAATTTGCAGATTCTGACACCTTCGGTATGGACTTCCAGTAACAATCATCAAATGCAACTTCAACTTATAAAGTTGAAAAATAACGCGATGAAAACCTCCGCGAAATCGAGTTCAAACGATTCACTAAATTCACCCCAGCTGGGGTGAACAGTTTCCACGGCTGAGCTGCATGGCGCATGCGCAGTGAATAGGTTTACGCAGTTTGAAGCGCGGATTCCCGGATTATAAGTCCTGAGCAGGAGTAGTCTAATTGTGTACAAACAACAAAGAGTAAATCTACTCGCTGCATAAAAGAACCGTGTTAAGGATCTAGATCTACTCAGCTATGAGTCAACCAGTGAAGGGTTCGACATTTCAAGACGGAAAAACCTTCGCTGGCGGCGAGTACTCGAGTAGGCTTTGTGAGCTTTTTTTCTAATGTTTTGACGTCGATATATCACGGGCGCGAACTTATGATCCTCGATTACCGATTGAACTGTTAATTATGTTATAAAATGTTATAATTTCATTTGACTATTTCACCACACGTTCTTGCCAAGTCACTTTCTCAGTTCGATGCTTAAAAGCAAGGTCATTATTTAACATCAGTTTCTAACCGATATAGATATGCCTCAGACAAAACTGAATGTCTGTTTTATTGACACCTTTTGTGCCTGTCTGCTAATGACATATGCAATACACAACTTCGATCACTGACCTCCATGCAATGTAAACGTAACACCTATCGGCTATCCACCATAACCAAAACCCATTGATTTATGGCTCGTGCATCAGCAGAGTTTCGTCTGTCGCATAATTACAGACGGGCAGGTGTGATAGGAAAATGTTCTACACAAATGAGCATCTCTATACACAAGAGCCATGAGAGTATCGACAAATGAACCAGCCAATGAAAGGCTTCGTTTCACTTAAGTGCACGCCCACCCGCTGTGACTTGCGTATCGCGGGTGCTTCGTTTCCAGGGAAGTAAACCCAAGTACAAATTATTGCAGTTTTGATTTGCGACTGTACGCTTATAATTTTATATTTTTTCATAAATCAGTAATTTATATATTATATGCAATGAATATGTGATAGTATGTGCAACAAAAAAAACACCATGACTTTCAACTGTTTTATAAGCATATGAATCAAAACTTGTGAAGGAGCATCTGCATTGGAGGGAAAATCCTTCAAAACTGGTTCCGTGTATGATTCCCCAAACAGTTTTAGTCATGTTGGCTGAACGATCCCGTTATAGAAAACATCCAATTCTGAAACCAACAAATTAACCGCAGGAACCTGTAATCTTTGCATTACATGAAACAACCGATTTCTGATATGGAAGTTATGGCCTACTTGCGACAAAACATTTTCTTCAGATGTGGGCGTTGCCCACCCATGAAAACTGGGTACTAAATGCGATACGTCTTAAGGGTTAAGTCACTATGAATTAGTATTTATTTACCCACACAAACGTTTGTAAAAGGCATTGCAGGTTTAGCATCAAGAGTAAAGAAAGCCTTATTTAACGTTTGTCTTTTATTTACAATTGTAATTACCTCCTAAAAATCTTGATTCCCAAATACCATCTATGTAAATGGATCTGATATTTGGGAATATATATGCTTTATATTTAGGCAACATCTGCAAAATCACAAGGGAAATCTTTTGTTCTCTCATGGGTTTGGTGTAATATGGATGAACCAAACCGTTGGAAATATCTCTTTACATAATTTTAATAACCAACCTCTTATGTTCTATCAGGACTGGCATTCTACCCTTGATGATGGATCAAGGAATGCTTGTAATACAGGATTATAAAGTTTACTTCAGCCTGAATAATTTCTATTTTCTAAAGTCAAATATTCTTAAATTTGGACTTGTTTGTTAAATTTATGATAAATGAAGGCATAAAAATGCCCTTAGAAAAACAAGATTTTGTCTTGTGTAAATCCGCAGCTGAGAATGAAATCAACATTATGCTAGTTTGTCCATCCTATTTCAGAAACACATTCGATGTTTCTCAAACACCTGCCCTTGCTTTTGCCCTGAAGGTCGTATCAATGTTGTTAATATATCATTAATTCTCAACATATACTACCCTTCAAAAGTTGAGACTCGCTTAAAGCACTCACTATGTTGCATATATATGGTTACATAGAAGATGAATTTCTCCACTAACTTCGGGAACCAACTGCAAACCTTATGCAGATGAATTACACAAGGATCATGCATCAGATTTCTGAAAGCATATGCAAATATCGTGCATGTGAACAGCTGCGTTTTGGTGTAAAAGCTTTAAGGATTCTGCTATTCTGAACACCCTATCAAACGTACTTGGTATACAGATCAGATGGTAGACATCAAGCACTAACTGGTATGGTAAATATGTCGAGGGCTATGATCCTTTGAGGTTGGGGAGCTTAGGTCACCCACTCGGTGAGAAACACAAGTACCTCCCCGTATTGGCGACCTTCACTAAGATAATCCAACCTACGGATACCATATATGTTGCAGAATTCCTGCACCAACGCTCCTACCATCAAGAAAAGAGGTAGGTATTCACTTTCTTGATCAACCGTTGCTGAAGGCACAGACTTGCACTATTAACTTGATCGTCACCGCAACATGTCACTCCCAGATATGCATGTATCGGCTGCATAAGTATCGGCTGTTAAACTTGCGTTTCACTATAATTCAGATCGGCTGCTAACGCAAATACCAGGTAAGGTCTTGGTTCATGAAATAACTGCCGCCATGTGTATCTTAAGACGGTAGTCGGCTCAGTGTCATGTTTCATCATCGGCGAGGCAGACTGATCATACTGTTGATCACGATACTCTTGCTTGGATATTTTGGCCAGGATTCTGTCAATGACGTAACCGCTGTAGTGGGAAATCCGTGTGATATGCGTCTGCACAAGTCAAAACATTTATTGCGCAACTTGTACAATAACCAGTCCAGAATGTTTAGACCAACTAATTCAACAGGATATATAAATATTAATCAGTATTTGAAACATCTAATCACTTGTATATTGCAACACTACGCTCCTCATCCTTGCAAACACGTGCAGCATGCTGTCTTACAGTGTGCACTGACAATGGAAATCTCAAAACTAGGTTCGTACGCTAGAAAAATTTGTCCTTTTGGAACTTGTGTTACAAAAATGCATTTAAATACAGAAATACGATTTATTTACTTTCAAAATTGATTTGTAAAGACCATTTTGTTATGAAACAAGGAATTGAAATTTAGTATAACATAGTTGTCTCATTTTCACCCGAAATTTCACATCGGCTGAAAACTGTCATTGTCTATTGGTTAATGAGACTCGTTTCGGTTTGTGGAGTTCTTTATGCTGTGGACCACATGTCCAGTCAGTACATACGTATGTCACCTTGCTAATCCCTATACAGAGCACGACGCCTTTCACTAACATGTTTGTTTTGTTGCCAGACGTATCCGGGATGTCCAACCAAGGCTATGCTATGGTAGCTACTGAATCCGTCGCCATAATCAACACGGCCCCGGGCGAGGCGGGAGTGGGGGACGTTCATGTCGACAGGTCGCAGCAGTAACATGTATTGCCATGGTTACGGGTTTTAATAAAATTCCATCTGTCCCCGTGTCTTTTTAATAAAATCTCCCTCTGGAAGGGGTACTTTTAGAACTGGTCTGTGACAATCTGTATCCTGTGTTCACCTACAGTATAGTGGACCTACAGGACACTACTGGTCAAGACGTGTAGACACGTGCTTGTACTACACCATTACTTCAGTCTGAAAGTAAAATAAATCACCCTCAAATCCATACCTTCCATGGAACCAGGTACTAATCTCTAACAGTCATCACCTGGCAAAGAAGACATTTCATCATCGCAAACTGGCCGTGTTAATATAATGCCGTATTTATATCTAAAGGCCACAAATGCTTGAAAAATGACTTCTGGTAATTATTTGATAATGGTTGATATTTCATTCAAACTTGGTATATGATCATTCATACCACCTCGACCTAATACGGCTTTTGGGTAATCACGATATACCATTCACTAATAATTACCCGTATAATGTCAACTTAGAAACACTTCAAACGGCACTGTGACCCACCTGGCAGACGGGTGACAGCGTTATGTAACGCACGGGCACTGCATGTCTTAGATCGTCTCAAGTGTCAGTCTCACTGCTGGTCGAGGACTCCAGCGGAATTACAACAGGTGCAACTCCGCTGACGTTAACGCCGTCCCGCAGATGGTATTCGTCCTCGATTTGAGTACACGGTCTTCAGCCTTTTGCCACACTTCTGGGGTAATTCTCGCAAAAGGAGCATACACAAGCTCTTTCACTTCTGAAAGCGTGAGTGTTGTATTTCGAGCAATAAATTCTTAACGTTAACCCGGATCAGCTCGATGGGATTGAGCTCTGTGCCGTACTAGTGTACGCAGAACTATGTGGCCTTGTGTTGCAGCTAGTTCGTCAGTGATGTACTGGATTGGCTTTTGGTGATGCCGGATGTTTCCATGACCTGGGGCTTTGTTTCCGATAGCCTGGAAGTCACGTTACAGGAAGTGAGAATCCTGCAATTGAGCTTTCAGATTGCTCATGGTGGATGGTACCAGGGACACGCAGGTTATGGTAACTGGCCTTATCTTAAAATAACGCTTCGTTCGTCCAGCAGCAGTGAAAGCTGATGTTAGAACTAATCAAAAAATACCTGCCCATTCATTTCGCTATCCGCAAGCAATCGGTTGAGTTTTTTTTTTCTTTTAAATACCAGATTTCATCAAGGTATATAATTTGAAACCCCAAATTGCGGTATTCAACTTTTCTGAGAAACTGATCGCATGGACAGGACTGAGTACTTTCCTCTAAACACAGCTGCCATCTTACACACACACCGGTGTACCTGAACCCATTTCTACCAGGGGTACAATGTCTCTAAAACACGTCATCTTGTATTTTAGAACACGTCGGGATTTTGCTTTCATACAGTTTATAAACTGCACGGCGTATGACACCCTTATAAAAGCTATCCAGTTTGTTTTCTATCTGGTTTTAATTTTGACACGACCCCTGAGGTAACATTTGTTTACAACTTTGTAAACCTGACTTTGTCAAATTAAGAGCTTTACACATTCCATAGTAAACCTTGTCGTAGCTGACGAGGTTCCCACCCGCCCCTTTATTTCTCAGTATAAAATTCTGGTATAAATGTGAAATTGTTCTGCAGAGATATTCAAGTCGCATGTTGCCAATTCAGTGCTCATACACGAAATGAATCTATTGGTGGACAAGATTATGTATGCGATTTGAATTAAGACTTTTTTACTTAATTATTTTTAATATAACCACAAGAGTTCCATTTTTAAAAAAAATAATTTTACATATAGATGTTAAAAATACAACTTTACGATCATTTATGTAACTTAATTAGTTGAGGCTATAGGAATAACTATAGTCTATTTCAAACCAACATTTTGTACTAGAATATTTACGAATGTTAAAATTTCCTCCTGTGAAGTCACCTCTGAGCTTTAATATCCAACTAGGTAGAGTGGTACATGCATCATAAATGTGCTTTTATCTTGTGTCAAATCATCATTGATATGGAAGCCAAAAATCATTTTCCAAGCCTTTCTGGCCTTACTTTAGTTTGACTTCCGATAACGGAAAAAGGTGTCAAATACGTTTCCATATTGGACAACATGGAGTCAGAGATAGGATATTGTCGTACAGTTCTACTAGATGTTCGTGCTTACACATAACCGTTCTGGAAACATAGGCCTCTACTCGAAACTATCCCAGCCCATGGATATCCGGAGAGCGGAAAGTCGCGGGTTCGATCCCCGACCGCGTCATACCAAAAGACGTTAAAATATGGTACTTGTTGGTCCCTGCCTGGCGCTCGGCATTCATGGGTGCAACGACTGGTCGGCTCGGAGTCAGTATGATGTGTCTGAGTGGGGTATTCATGCTTCACTGTGGCGTGGTATCTCGGTGGGCTAGCACTATCAAAACCAGCTTAAGTCTGGGCTAGTACAAGCAGCCGCACAAACACACACACACGTACACGGGCATACACGTCGTGATATGAGAGAAATATTCTCAAGCACGACGTTAACCCAATTTCACCTCACCTTGGATATACTAAATTTGCTTCTTGGGTCCCGGATAGTTGTCAGATCGTATTATCGAACAGTGCAGTATCCTGGCGCGAGGATATCCTAACTTAGGACAAGTCAGAACCTATCCTAAGTAAGGAATAAACTCCTCAGACTCGCCAATATTCGGGCGGCTGGCGAGTCGAGGCCGTTAGGCCGAGGACCCACCCAGCCGCGCGAATATTGGCGAGTATGAGAGAGTTTAACACCATAAAAAAAATCATATTGGCGCCCTAGTTTCATAACTCTTGCACCCGACACAGCAATATAATATTGGCGTCCTACATCTGGGTAGCACGATGCACGATACACACGCTATGAACACGCTCTACTGTGCACGTGGCAGCGTATTGGAGGGATACAAAACAAACGAAATATTTTACTGCATCCACTTCGTCAGATGTTTTCAACTATGTCAGGAGAATGTGGTTCTTTATGCATGTCTTTGTCATTCAAAATTAATACATTTTCCGAAGCTTTTGAATAGAAGTATTTCGAGTGTCGAGTTTGATATCACTCTGCAAGGGGGGAAAGTCCTGTAGATACAGTTCTTCGGATGAGGAATTGCTGCGCGAGTCGCAAAACCTAGAACGGGAATTTGACCAAATGAATAGATCAGCAGCTGATGAACTGATGTTTGCTTCTCAGCAGATAGAAAAAGAAAGTGAACAAACGGCTACCAAACGTTTTGGCAACCCTCTGTTTCTGAATATCAAAGCTTGGAAAATCTCGCAAAAATATACAAATACAGAAAAGATTCCTGGCAACGTGAACGAGATGGGTTTGAATCCCAGTTAGGCAGCAAATTAAGTATTTCTGATGAAGATCTGAGTCTGTCACAGCAATAAGGAACCAAAGGAGTGAGTTGAGTTTTACGCCGCAGTCAGCAATAAAATGGCGGCGGTCTGTAAATAATCGAGTCTGGACCAGACAATCCAGTGATCAACAGCATGAGCATCGATCTGCGCAATTGGGAACCGATGACATGCATCAACCAAGTCAGCAAGCCTGACCACCCGATCCCCTTAGTCGCCTCTTACGACAAGCATGGGTTACTCTAACCCGGACCTGCACGGGTAAGGAACCAAAGGGGAGGTCAATACAAGGGCGACATAATTCATGAGATTCTTATTTCGATGCAGAGATTCTTGCGCCAAAGTGGTCTAGATGTTAACCTAACCACTGATTTTGCTTTTAGGGGTTTAAGAACCATTTTAGACGCTAAAATGTAATCGCTGGTACGGGCTGGTTTTGGCATGCATAGAAGGCTAGGCAAGCTAGCGTCATCACACCACAGGAGGAGGATGCATTGTGGGAGTCGGGTTTGCTTGGGGATGACACCCGGAAAAATTGCTTGAAACTGCTTTAAATTTGAATGGGCCGTTGTCCATATAGACTTGACCAAAAGTACAAGTCATTGAGGTTGAGTGAATAATATGGTGATTACTTAAAATCTTAAAATTTAAAAAAATAATGAAATTCATATCGTTTTAAAAAATAGAGTTGGGCTTTACGTCACATCGGCATTATTCCAGCCATATAGTGACGAGAACAAGTCTGCATTAATATACATTGTAAGTACAGAATCAAAATGGGTTCTATTTCAAAAACATATATTCATTTTAAAAACATGACGATGGCTACAGTGCAGCTTGTATGCAATGTATGTACAACTTGACTGCAGGCTAGTGGGTTGTGATGAAAGGGGAATCGAACCCGCGCGGAAGGCACTTTAACCACTAGGCTACCTCACCGCCCATAGACGTAATTAATAACTGAGGTAGCCTAGTAGTGATAGTGCCTGCAGCACAATGTGTCAAGCCTATGCTTTGTGTCCTGCCATGTAATAAATGGATGAAACATTGAGTTCGTTTCTGTATTTCAGTAAGGGGGGTATTACTGTTTGGATTCAGCGTGAGGACCGGGTCAGTAAAAGGGCGCCAGTATTTGAAAGTAGGGCGCCAATACACGCGATAAAGTCGACAATATACGAAACTAGGTCTCCAATAAACGAAAGATACGGGCTTCCCATTCCATCCTCATTGGAAAGATATATCGTGTAATGGATGCAACTTTAGGTTTAAGTATAACTTAGAGGAAATCAGCATGGTGTGGTACTTCTTACTTCACCAATTTTAAGGTTGTCCACTAAACAACTCGCCTAAATTACATTTGAATTTACAACAGCACACACTTTTGAGCTTAAGTGTTTTGATTTTTTGTTGTATAGATCTATTTATCGGCAATGAATACACTTGAAGCAATACACATTCTTTAGATCTACAAAAGATTTGTTCAGTAATCTATTCTTGCCCGTTTTTAAAAATCGCAACATTCCTCTTTTCTGACACATGGCCGTATCAGGCCAACTTGGTACGGGCAGTAACTTCTGTGTGGATATTTCCAAGGTGAATTTTCACCGAGATGAAACAAAGGGGAGTCCAGGCATGATTTTCATGCAC